AAAAGGCAATTCAGAGGTCTCCAAAGTCTGCTAAGTCACTTAAACTACTCCTGTATAATGATTTAACATGGAAGTTAACTTCTCTCTATAGCTAGAAAGGTGTACTGCAGGTATTCTGCCCTCACATAACATAATTTCCAGAAATTATCATCCCAAACCATGTGGATGAGTGTGGTTTGTGCTGACAGCCAACTGATGACGGTAATAAACTTGAGCGTAGGCATCTTCCGTTGTGCTGGTTGAAAATGTGACAAAGGCTTCCAGCTTTACTTTGATTAGGTATCATAAGACATCAAAGCTGCTTTCACAACACACCTTTCTGCATATACATGGGAGGAAAGGTGTGTTTGAAATCTGTCATAAGGGAGAGAGAGATTGCATGTCTTTTATTGGTTCTTTCAACTGATGTTTTATTTGCCTTATTTTTGTGCTGTTTATTTTGCATGTTATTGTTTCATTGCATCTTGTTCCATTTTATCGCATTACTGTCATAAGCCACCTTGAGCAATATTTGGTGCTAAGGCAGGATACATTAACAAACAAATAAATACCCCTCCCCCCATGCAAGGAATTATTTGGGAACTTCTAATATACGAGACACAAATCTGGGACGGAAACTAAACTCATCAGTGTCACCTAAGAAGAATGGATGTGTATTTGGGAAGCCAGTGTGCAGTACACACTTTCCAAAGGAGCACGGCATCTGAGACTATTCCCAGATTCAGCATCAGGTACATGAGAAGTACTGCACATGTGTATATTCGGGTGCCAGTATATGGCTTGAAACCCTATTTCAAAATAAATGCTCTATTCTTCATACGGTGCTATACTCGTTTTAGAATACATGGTTAATATTTTTGTTCAGGGAAAAGAAATGTCATGTGAGAATGTGAATGTGAATGCCAACTGTGAGGATCTGGACAGTTAAACAAATGTTGCAAACATATGATGGAAGGAGAGAGAAAAAATACACAAATAAGCAAAGGGTCAGGAAAACATGTGCATCATTTGAAAAGACATATTCACCTGCAGAAGAAAGAGAAAGCAGGGGTAGTTTAATGCTAGTTTTTAAAAGGGACTGAAAATAAAGGAAATGCAACAGAGCAAATCAGATAAAATTACAATTCTGGCATTCTGCAAAGCAATTCTATGCTTTGGAAATATTTTGAGCAAAAAAAATCAATTGCGCCTCCTGGTGGCAACCAAAAAAGTGACCAACTCTCAGCGTAGGAATGCATTTTTTCTGATTCGCAGAAGCAAAGCAAACACACACAGTTAAAAAAATAGAATGAAATATGGATCATACCTGTCAGGTTATACTTCATATTAGGACTTCAAATATATCCATACATAATTCACAGTATTAGAATGGATATAGAAGAGACAAAGAGCATAAGACAATAGAATATGTGAATCTTGCTATTATATTACTATTTATTTCTATTCTATATTGTCCCATAGGTGAAGCTCTCTGGGTGGTTTACAACAATTCATAAAGACAATATAATTACAATACAAAAATCATAAAATCAAAGCAGCATTGAAATAAATTTTAAATAGCTAAAACATAGAGTAAAAAATGACACCGTAAAAGAAAGAATGAAAATCACCTGGGATGGGTAGTCCCCTCAGGTTCCTAAGTAGCTAAAGCATTTGGTGCTGAGAAGATTACAAATCTGGTACCAGGAGGACTGCAGTGGAAAGATTGCTCCCTAGATGGGGGCCACCACAGAGAAAGCCCTTCCCTTGTTGCCACCATCTGAGCCTTTCTTGGAGTTGGTAGCCACAGGAAGGTCCCAGCCATTGAAAGTAGTGTCCAGGTAGGTTGTGACTGAGAGAAGTGCTCTGAAAGGTATTGTGGGCCTAAGCCATGTAAGGCTTTATTGGTTAAAGCCAACACCTTGAATTGGGCTCAGAAGATACAGCCAGCCCGTGCAAGCAGGCCGGAAGTGGTCTTATATGTCTGCACCTATTGGTTTGCTGCAGCTTCTGACTGTCTTCCAGGGCAGCCCCATGTAGAATGCATTGCAGTTATCTAGTTTAGAGACTACTGAAACCAGGCTATTCCAGATAGGGGCATAACTGGGCCACCAGTAGATGGCACTCCAAACCACTGAGGGTACCTGGGCCTCAAGTGGTAAAGACAGATCAAGCACTTCCAACCTACAAACCTGCTAAAAAAAGGTGATCCATTAAAGCAAAAACCAAACCAGAAGTATTATATATTACCACTAAACAGAAGCCAATTCAATTTAAAGTCAATGGGCACAAGAGCTGTAATGTTCAAAGATGTTTATGTGTATAAATTGGTTCAAAAAAGCAAGAATGGTAATTTTTACCAATATTAAGTTCCCAGAAGCTCTCCTTTCTGTAACATTTGGATTTTTGAGAGTGTTGTGGATGCTCCCACAAAATGGCTGCCATGGTGGGCACTGCTGGTCACAAGACACTAATTTCCCAGAATGCAAACTGGCAAGCCTGAAAGGAGGGCAACTTGTTCAAGAACTTAAATAGAAAAAGGTGAGGCCTGAAACCAAAATAGGAAACCATTTGAACTCCTAATAAAGATGGTGCTGGAGGGCCGTAGATCACTTTGCAGAATGCCAACCTCCAAATATGAAAAGTAATTAATTAAAACACCTTGCAATAAAAATCAGAGCTGGAAGCCTATTTGGCACCATGCCAGAGACTCCAAGTTTTGAATTCTGTATTTCCCATTAGTGCCACACTGTGAATACTGTCTGAGTTAAGGAACCCAAGTGGGATGGACTGGGCAACATCATACCTATGCATTTCTGCCTGCCTTTGGCGAGTTCTAATCTTCCTTCTGCTCTGGAAGTCATTTTAGACTGTCAAGGGACTTGACTATATGCTCCTCTGTAGGCCACAAATAAATAAATCCAATTCTCTGTTTGGGAAGCTACCTCCACCCACTTCCACTGGCACTGATTTCCCAACTGCTGCTGGTACAATCTAGTCACAGGCAGACTGCCTCTGTGTGAACTAGACTACAGGCCTAGCTAAGCTGGGGAAGGGCTGTAGCTCCATGCTAAGGGCATGGGGGAGATCCCTGGTTCAGTCCTGGGTATCTCCAGGTAGAGCTAGGAAAGGGCCCTGCCCGACTTCCTACAAAGATGCTGCAGGTAATCTTGAGCTAGATGGCCTGTGATCTGTCTTGGTACATATAAGGCAGCCCCCTAGATGTAACATAGGCAGCCAAGTGAGCTGTTCTCCCAAACTGTTTTACTTGCTTAAAAACAACTGGAGTAAGGATTGGATTGCAGCTGCTACATTAGAAGCGATGGGCAAACCTCCTCTTGTACAGTGTGTCCTTGGACAAAGAACTCATGCGCCCACACCTAGGCTGCTATTAGCTGAGCAAACAAACAGAACCAAATACCTATATGTAGTCATTCCTTTTTTGTAGCTACTTGCACCTCTTTGGGGTCATTTTGATCAGATAAACAGTCATGTGCTAGATCCTCATTGGCCATTCTGTGCATTGAAAGGGTTCTTCTGTTCCAGGATCCAGCAAAATTCCCAGTGGAGGAAGAAGGCTGCCAGTTCTGCATTCCCCCAAGCAACACCCCTTCTTGCCCTGCACACTGATCCCGGAGTCTCCCAACAGAAGGAACCCCAAACACTGCCTTCCGTTCCTTCATCTGGGATAAGTATAGAGCACCAAGTGCTATTGTGGATCCAGACCAACATCTACAATATACCATGTATTATATACAGTGAATTTTAAAGATGCTAAATGAGAAATAGTCTAAAGAAGTACAATTTTTCATTTTAGTCCCAATGAAAACATTTTAGTCCCACCCTTCCTCAACCACATGAATAAAGCAGAAGGCCAGATGAGGATCTTCCATGAATTTAACTTGTGAATTAAGACCATGTTTTCCTACATCAGTGCTCAGTGTCTTCAACACTCATATCTTCCTTTTGTTCTTTAGTACTAGAAACAATTGGAAAAATACAAAGCCCGGCTCATGTCAGGTAAACAAGATGCATTACATCCTCACAGGATAATAACAGGTTAATTTTTAACATGCTTTCATACCTATTCCATCTGGAATATTTCAGCTTAATATTTAATAGTAGAGATACATTATTTAGCATTTCTAATCTGTTATATATTAGGTATAATTAAGGGATTTAAAATGCCCAGTCATTTCAAGAGAAAGTTGTTCTCAATTGTGCAAGCCAATTCTTTCCAAGTTGTCTGGTTGCTATGTTCTAGAAATTTTACTGAAATTTTAATTCCTTCCAGAAAACGTATTTGACATACAATGAACAGCGGAAAACTGCACAGAGGTTTGATAAAAGAAAAAGTGGTGACTATGGCTACTTTTGTAACTGATAGCAAGTTATGCAAACAAGATTCAAATAGTTATTCTTTGAAGCTTAAAAGAATGACCAGAGGGGTGCACAGAATTATGTTAGTGCAAACGGAGCTAGAGACTCATGAGAAAGAAAAACAAACAGCAGAACACTGTACACCATGTTTGGTCTAAAAGGAAGAGCAGAACTGCTAGGAAAAAGCATAGGAGTTTTTTGTGTTTTTTCCTAGGAAGTGGACAAAAAAGTATATGTTCTAAGCCCGGAGTAAGTAAGTAATGGGTTAAATGGGAACATTGACCCAACAGTGCATGGATTAGGTTTGCACACATTCTTCAGAAAGAGAAGTTCAGAGTTGGTCAAAATGAACTTTGCTTACATTCAGATTAGAAAAATCGATTACTTGGTGGAAGAAAAACTGGAAATCTCTCCGCAGAGTGTTTCTGAGTTTGAAATATGTTTCTACTGCACCCTCTACTGAGGGCAAAGCAGCCTACAATGTACATGGTTCGACCCACTTCAATTTTAATCCAACATCGGACAGTTTAGTCTGGACTTTTTATTTGTGTGTGTGTGTGTGTTGTGGGGCGGGGCGGGGGGAACGCCACAGCCGCTATTCATATGCTGTTCTTTTATATGGAAAGGAGGAGCGCGGCCGAGGCACACGTGCGGGCGGCGACCGCGAGAGGAGCCACAGCTGCGCCGCGTCCGCGGACCCGAGGTGAGCCCCGGCGAAGGAGGCCGCTCGCCCACCGGAGGCCGCGCTGCCGCTGCTGCCCGCGACGCCTCTGCGTGCCGGGCTCGGGGCGCTTGCATGGGGGCGGGCGGCGGCCCTCGGGCATGCCGGGCCCCCTTGCCTTTGCCCCGCTTTCGCCGGAACCCTGGATGCCCCGACCCGGAGCAAAGGCGCGCGCACCCGGTCCGGGAAGGTCAAGGCAGGGCTTGCTTTGAGGACAAGATACGCCTCCATGCAAGCGTTCTTCATGTCAGCGGAGTGTAGTTGAGCGCTGGAAGAGGGGATCCCCTTGGCCTGGCACTGCTGATCCTTGCAGATCTGTTGCATGTCACTTTTCAGATCTAGCAATGGAGCCCCATCTACCTTCCAACCACCTCTGACCTTGGAATGTCTTCCTTGCGAAGTACGTCTATGCTTTCTATGGGAGGGTTCTTTCCCAAAGCAAGCAAGTAAAAAGACATTCGTGAAGCAGACAGGAATGTAAATGCAAAGGCATCGTTTGCATAACTGTGTATAAGGTGCCTGGCCGAGGTAATAAGCTGGATGAGGGCCAATAAACGGAAGCTCAGTCCAGACAAGACGGAGGTCCTGTTGGTTGGCAGATAGGGCTTCCGAGAGGGTGAATTGAACCTAGTCCTGAATGGGGTTGCACTCCCTCTTAGGGACAAGGTCTGCAGCCTTCATTGGAAGCTCAGAGTGAGTGGCTGGCCTGGTCACCCAGTGAGCTTCATGGCTGAGTGGGGACTAGAACCCAGATCTCCCAGGACCCTAGTCCAACCCTCTAACCACTATGCCACACTATCTCACTGTATTTGTTTTTGGTGTGCTTACCAGAGGGGGCTTTTTTCCTGCAATCAACAATTCATGGAATCTCACTGAGAGACCAGATGACATCTCTTCCATTTGTAAATCCTATATGTTTCCTTGCCACTTTTCCCATCTCTCTTTTTTTAAATAGAAAGTTGCTAAGGTGAAGAAGATGGCTACACAATGTCTTTTGTTGCTACAGGTAGGAGCTCTCCTTATGGAAGCAGCCTTGACCTAGGTACCTGTGAAAAAATGCTCTTCTGAACATATGCAGAGTGTTTTTGTCTCACTAGCAGGCAACCACAACCAGTCTCCATGTAACTATAGCTAGTTGTCAATGGTATGCTAGTAGGATATTGTGTTGGGTAGAAACACAACAGCCCCTTCCAGAAACTCAACAGTAGAGCCTTTACAAGTCATAGTGAACAATATAGGCATAATCCTATGATTGTTTAGACAAGAAAAGTGTGATTGCACCCGGAAGAGCAATCATATTCCAATTCATTCTTGAAACTGTTGGTATTCCAGAGAGAGAGAGAGAGAGCGAGAGAGAGAGAGAGAGAGGTCATCTTCTATTAAATACATATTCAAGCAGATATAGAAACTCATATGAGAAATGAAAATAAACATGTGAGCATCTTCTAAGAAAATGACTGAGTATATTTCTATCTCTGCCATGCATAATATTTCGATAAAGAGAAAATATTTTTGTGGATGTAAGAAGAAAGGAGTTCTAACCTTGGTTTGTCTTTTAGAGAGCTTTTGTACTGTAACTGAGAGATTGAAACTGAGAGAACAAGAGAGAGATCAAGAAAACACTTGTTTATGTTTGGAAAAAACTTGCACAAAGCTTATCCAGAATTCCTTGTTCCTAAAAATAACTCTGAATGCACACAGTTCATGAGAATGAAGCCAGTACATGATCCAGGAATTCAGCATCTAGGGAAAGGAAGCTTTGCAGTAAACTGTTCTAATGTCAGGGGCACATTCAGAGAAACTTTAAATCTGTTCAAAGTACATACCCTTCACGTGCTATTAATAACAAGAATATCATAGATAAGAACTCATACACTCATTTCAAGATAGCTTCAAAATACAGGCTCCTCCAACCAGAAAAAATAATTACATGTTCTGTTATTGTTAGAGAGTTCCCTGGGATTTTCCATTTACTATGTTTCATTCCATCACATTTTGTAAGAAATATTCTGACTCCTGCTTGTCTGCATGCAGTCTCCAAAATGGTGCCCATGGTGTACATTTCTTTTGGCACCCACTCCGGATTTTTATTTTATTTCTTTTCTTATTTTTTTTAAAAAACACTTAAAACTGAGAGCATGCCATGCTACAAAATGAAATGATTGTTTGGACATCAGTGTTGCAGTTAGAGTCTTGCAAAATATACCTTTCCTCTTACCAGTTGACATGCTGGGAAATGAGTGTTTCCTGACCGGTCATGTCAAGCAGGGTAGCCAGTTGACGGATGGGAAAGCCGCATCATTTGGCAGCCATTTGTGGGAGCTCCCACAGGACTTTCAAAAGCTCTTATGTGCCCAACAAGGTCAGGGATCCCCTGCTCTAGTGCTCTAGTGCATCCATCCTGCTATTATAACCCTCCCCATGTTCTAATTTCTCCCCTAACCTGATCAGGAACAAGTTTTACCAACCCTGCCCTCCTCATTTCCCAACAGGGCTCCCAAGCAGCTGCTGCTTCCTCTACGTATTTGCCACTTGTCCCTGGCTTGGCAGTGGAGACCCACCTTGGATTAGTTGCTGATTTCTTCCTAGCACACATTTACTCAGTATCTTGTAAGCAACTATACGCGTAAAGGATGGCTGAGAGCTTAACTGTGACTTGTCTGTACTAAGACTCCTTTGTGGAGAGGATCCAATCTGTCACTGCCTCTTCAGAATCAGGGTTTGATTTAAGTAAAGTGTTTTCACTTGGCCATGGAGGAATTTTATTCAAAAGCTTCCACAGCCAGGAGTGTCCTTTATTTGTCGAACTGCCCCGAGAACTTCAGCTATGGGGTGGTGTTGAAATGGAATCACAACAACATGTGAACAAGAGTGCTTCTGAACATATGCATATATTATGTAGTGCTCGTTGTTTACATTCTGTGGGGATCAGGGGAAGTAGATGTCAAAGAGAGCTGACCTCTTTTTAAAAACTAACAACTGATGGTCACCCAATTAGCACCATGGAATTATGTATTTTATCATGTTGTAAGCCGCCCCGAGGTTTCGGCAAGGGGCGGCATAGCAATGTTATAATAATAATAATAATAATAATAATAATAATAATAATAATAATCCCTACTCATCTCTTGGTAGCTACAGCAGCAAACTAGTTAAAGAACTCTGTGCACTTGCTTTGAACAAGCCCTATTGGACTCAGTGTGCAAATGAGTGGCTGTAGCACATTTGGACTGATTTATCACACACACACAACCACACACACTTATTTATTTTATCTCCCTACCACACGATAGCTGAAGCTCTCTGGGTGGCTCCCAGCAATTCTGAAAATACAGATAATAAAAGCACAAGTCAAGTTTACAGAAGTGATAAACCCAGCAGTTCAAAAACATGAACTCAGGTAAAAGAGCCCAGATTGATTTAAGCAACCTTTTATATTTTCACTTCAGTGTTATCCTCGGCCATGAGGCCTAGAAACTGCTTTAAAAATATGTGCAAAGAGATTCAGGATTCCATGCACTGTATATTACCCAAACTTTTGTTAGTGAATAAAAATCAGAAGGAGAAGTTACATTCCTGACATATTACAAATGACTGTTCTTATTTTGCTCACAATTAAAAGCAAAAGTGCAAATCTCCCTTCTTCTTCTTACTATTATTAGAATATTTCTATGCCGCCCCTTGCCGAAGCCTCGGGGCGTCTTACAACACAATAAAATACAATTCTTAAAGTAGCTTCTTGGTGTAAATGGCAGACATCTTTCATGGGCCACTGCATGCCATGTTCTACATAAGTCTGTTTCATGGGAGTAGCTAAGTACAAAGGCTTGTTTGATGGGGGAATACACACCTACACACATGGTCACTATTTACTATGCACAGCTCTGTTTTAAGCATTCTTGTACTCACTGACTGGGTTCAGACAACACAATGAACCATGCTGAAGGAGTGAGCATTGGTTGAACATAAGTTGTGGTTGAAACGTGGGTTATCATGTTGTCTGAACCCAGCCATGCTAACAAACCATGTTTGTTAAGCACAAACAACCCACAGTTCAGAATCCAAAAGCAAACCATGGAGTCTCATAACGGGTTGCTTGTGGTTAATGAAACCTTATTTCTTAATGCAGCTGGGTTTAGATAAGTTAACTCCAAGTTTCAACAACAACAACCCATCTTTCAGCAAAACCCCTTGAGTGTGGGTTTTCTTGTTATCTGAACCCAGTAACTAAAATATATAAGCTAGTCCAATTAAAGCGTAGTCTTTAGAAGGTTTTGGATGATAATGAAAGCACTTGTTTTCTTAGCTGGACGTGGGAACATGGTGTTGCAGAGGAGCTTTCCCTAACCTGGTACTCTCCATCAGTTTTAGACTACAACTTCCATCAAGTTCAGCCCTTGTAGTAGTTGTTCAATTCCTCTGCAAGGCACCAGCTTAGTAAAGGCTGCTTGAGAGCTACAACGTAAGTTCTGAATTAGTAGTGGCAAAGTCCTTTCTGCAGGTGTAGCTGTGGAAGTTCAAAGTTTTGTTTACATATGGAAGAGTTCATATTGCTCATGCAAACATTCAGAACTGGTATTCATCCTTCTTTTTATAGGATATATTTTTAAAGTTTTCTAAGTGTTGCAATATTCAAAAATAATTTATTTCAGAAAATGTATGCACCACTTTCCATTGGTTCTTTAAGCAGCAGTTCACAAAATGGCATCACAACAAAATGCGATAAACCCAATCTATACATTAATAAGGATAATGATACAGCCATGTTAAATCATGTCCAAAACAACACATCTTTCCTATTCATGTATTAAGTTACATGAGATATATTATTTGTCCTCTGTGATCATTATTCTTATTGTTCATGTTCTTATTCTTGATTGTTTGGTGTTCAGTTGGTGAAATGTTGCTCTAAAGTTTGAAACTTTTGGAAAATGGATTGCTCAAACCCAGAATTCTATCCAGGACACAGGAGAGAAAGGTCAAGATACAAAACTCTGTAAGTTGCAAATCTGTTGGATGCTGCCTTCCCTAACTGCTGGGTTAGAGGGAAAATGTAGTTGTACCACATGGGGGCCAGTGCAAGTACATAAAGATGCATGGATGAAAGACGCTGGAGTTCCTTTTACAGATTGACACAGGATTTCCTTGATTGTATTCTTGACCCTTGAGATAAAGCAGCAGGTTTCTGTGGTATGGAAGGAAACTGAGCTGCATGTTCCACATGTCCACACAGGCACACTTTTCTATGAGAAGTTATGGAAAACAGTGGTTTCAATTTCTGGTATTCTATTTTGCAGATCCTTCCTTCTGTGAAAATGAATCTTGCAGCTCCCGAAGCGGTTTCCTTTTCAGAGATGACCATTGTCTTATTTATGGCAGTATCCATTCTAATGTCTATAAAAATGTTACTGAAGAGCAAACAACCACATCCACCAGGTCCTTGGTCACTGCCAATTTTGGGGAATCTCCTCCAACTTGGAGAGCATCCATATCTTTCCTTGGATCTCATGAGGAAGAAATATGGAGATGTGTTTCAGATAAAGTTGGGGATGGTCCCTGTTGTGGTAGTGAATGGGCTTAGTGCTGTGAAGCAGGTGCTTCTGAGAGACGGGGAGAATTTTGCTGGCCGACCCGACATGCACACATTCTCTTTTTTTGCTAATGGGGAGAGCTTGTCGTTTTCTGTGAAGTACGGGGAGAGCTGGAAGCTTCAGAAGAAGATTGCCAGCAAAGCGTTGAGATCCCTCTCCAAGTCTGAAGCCACGTCCTCAACTTGCTCTTGCCTTCTGGAAGAGCACGTTTGCTCTGAAGCTTCAGAACTAGTGAAAACCCTTGTGGAGCTTTCCAAGAGTGGGAGCTTCGACCCGGCGACCATTATCACTTGCACGGTTGCGAATGTCGTGTGTGCCCTTTGCTTTGGCAAGAGGTATGACTACAATGACCAAGAATTTCTGAGTGTGCTTAAGCTAAACGATGACCTTCTGAAAGCCACCAGTGTCTTCAATCCGGCCGATTTCATACCGTATCTTCGCTACCTTCCGCTCCCTGCTGCAAAGGCTGCTTGCGAGTTTTACGGGAATTTTAATAAGTTTGTTGCATGCCGTGTAGAAGATCACTATACCACATACGACAAGGTAAGCTGTTCATCATGAAATTTAAAAAAAAAATCCTTGAGATCTGTTTGGATGATTTGATACCCATAGAACCACTACAAGCTGGTTGATTATGAATTAAAAAATACACCCAAAGACAGACCAAAGCCAGCTGGCTCATCGACCCAGGTTTTGGTTACACATGCCAAGTTTGTGGATAGAGAATTTAACTAGGTGGTGGGAAGAAAAAACTATGCGATTGAATGTGGTACAGTGGTGTCAAGGACTGACTGCAGAAAGAGTCAGCCTGCCAATAAACATTTTAAATTGCCATTATAATTAGATGTTGTTAACAAAGAAGCCTTTCTCATTAACACCTCCTAAAGTGCTAAGTTCTCAATACACCAAATAAGCTTCAATAGTAAAATATGGTGGCTATAATTGTAACTTGCATGCCTTCTGGAAAGTGCAAGTTTACTGTTGTTGCTGCTGCTGCTGCTGTTATTGTTATTAATTATTATTTATCGCATTTGTATGCTGCCCCATAACCAACGGCTCTCTGGGCGGCTCACAGTGCAATATAAATATATTTAAAATACAGATAAAAATAAATAACAATAACAAACAAAGCATAAAATGGTAAAATTAAAATGCAATATGAATACAACCGTATAAATAGGAAACAGGAAAATAAACACACTATAGCCAATAACAATAGGGATGCAGGTGGCGCAGTGGTTTAAACTGCTGTGCTGCTGGGCCGGTTGATCTAAAGATCGCCGGTTCGAATCTGCACAACGGGGTGAGCTCCCGTTGCTCCGTCCCAGCTCCTGCCAACCTTGAATTTGACAGCCTGCAAATGCAAGTAGATAAAAAGGTACCACTTTGGTGGGCAGGTAACAGCGTTCTGTGCACTTCGGTGTTTAGTCATGCCGGCCACATGACCACGGAGACTATCTGTGGACAAACGCTGGCTCCCTCGGCTAGGAAACGGAGATGAGCACCGCCCCCTAGAGTCAGACATGACTGGACTTAACGTCCAGGGGAAACCTTTACCTTTACCTTAACCAATAACAATAACCAATAAAACAATAAACCAGCAGCAAACCAATAGAAGAGAATTCCAAAGGTGAGGTGCAACAACCAAGAAGGCCCTGTTCCCCTTTACAAGAGCTGAGCAGGGCTGTGAAGGGCAGGACCTTTGAGGGCTCTTCATTCACAGGGTCGCCGTAAGTCGCAGACAGCTTGGCAGCACCTCACGACAAAGATCTGGACAAGTATGCACCTCTTTTCACACCAAGCAACACAGATACCAACTCATCAGGCTTGGGTATCCTAGTCCGATTTCCTAGACTCATTTATAGAACTTAAAACAAGAGTACACATATATATTACTTTCAGATTTTGAGGTCCTGAAATAACCATATGGCACTGCTGTTTCCTACCAATTTGCATACATTGACTCCTAAGTCAGTGTGCATATATGGTTGACAAAGGAATATATTGTTCACATTCTTAATCTTCAATTAATGTTTATTTATTAATGTTAATATTACTGATTGTGGTTCCCCAAGTAGTTTCTCTCTGTAGTTTCCAAAGCCCTTTGTTTGGCCAGGAGAAAAAGTACAAAGTCAGATTCTACATAGTTTGATAAAGAATTAAACTTTCACTTACCAAGTCTGTAACTTTAGAAGTGGCTAGATGAAAATAACATCAAGGGTGTGTTTGTTTCCTTTAGAACCATCTCAGAGACATCACGGATGCTCTGATTAATGTCAGCAATGAAAGAAGAGCTGATGGGAAAACTGCAGCCATATCTAATGATAAAATCATAATTACTGTCAATGATATTTTTGGAGCTGGTAAGTATTAAACATTTTTACTGCTAGCAGGCATTTTATATATGTCCCCTAAAGCACAGTTGCTTTGGGGCTGAGATGGGAAGAGTGCCTGCATCTTTGTTACTAAGTGCAGTAGATATGACTTAAAATTGGTGGAAAGAAGCACTCCAGATTCCAGTCTCTTTGCCCCAGTGTCTTCTAATCTGATCCACCTGGGTGAAGTTTGTGTTGAACTCAACATGGCTAAACCACATTGAAGTCATCATGGACAAACTGGAATGGAGTATGTTAAACTGGAATTGGTCCAACATTTATAGCACAGTTGGATGCAATCTCTAAAATTCAGCATGAAAAACCCTGTAAATGTGAGAGCATGTTGGACTATTGAACCGTTACTTCTCATCTAGGAGTTCTGACCCAGGAATGTATCTTGGTGGAGGAGAATTACATGATATTCTGCCTAGCATTCAAAATAGACAAATGTCCAAGCTTTGCCTGTAAATTTTAATTTAGTCATATGTTCTAATTCTTTTATTTTGTAGGTTTTGGTACCATGTCATCATGTTTGGAATGGGTATTCCTGTACTTGATAAGCAACCCAGACATTCAAACTAAAATTCAAGAGGAAATTGGTAAGGTTCTTGATTAAATCAGGAACGGAACGGAACGGAACGGAACGGAAAGGAAAGGAAAGGAAAGGAAACCACACCACACCACACCACACCACACCACACCACACCACACCACACCACAGGAGAGAAGAGGAACAAAATTGAAGCCATTAGTTATGCAATGAATTGAATTAAGCATGACTTGTTTTGTTTTTTGCAGATGGAAAGCTTGGACAAAAGCCACCAAGGTTTGGGGATCGAAAAGATCTGCATTATACAGAAGCTTTCATTAATGAAGTTTTTAGGCACAGTTCCTTCATTCCATTTACTATTCCTCACTGGTAAGAAGCAACACTGGAGAGCAACTTTAGTTAAATGTGAGCTTGTGCTGCCACTACCATTATTTATAATGGTATACGTGGTTGACACAGAAGGGCCCAAGGCAAGCCTGCAGCCCACCCTAGGCGTGGGCAACCTTTTCCAATCTAAAGGCCAAATTCCACTTCAGAGATGCTCTCAGAAGCTGCGTTTCAGTGTTTATTATGCATTCACGGTAATTTTTAACAGACTTTTCAGGGAATACTTGTCTGAAATATTAAGAAAGGCATTTCAATGTTTAGAAGGGGGAAAAAACTCACAAAGATTAGGAACCAGCAAAGGATTGGTGGTCAGGAAAAGAGGAGTGTGAAGCAGGGTTAGGAGGTTTGGCCACACCCCAGACTTTACATTGGTAGAAATTTGGCATAAATTTGGCATAGAATTAATTGAGGTTTTACCAAAGAAGGTTGTGAGCTGGAATGCTTTCCTTGCTTATGGGTATTTTCAGCCATATTCAACACTGGGACAGCTCCGAGTTCAGGCTGAAGGCAAGGCATTGTCCACTAATCCCAGTTTATTCTGAAAATGATTCAGAAGCGCCATCAAATTCAGTGGGGTTTACTCTTAGGTAAGTGGACTGCATCCTATGCATGGGAGCAATCTCCAAGGAAGAACACAAGAACCTGTGGGGAAACTTGTCATGCTGGTACATAGTCAACGATTTTGAAAACACTGCACAGAATTGAGGTGTCTCTTCATCAACTGTGATAATAGGGAGAAGATTTCTTTTTGATGGTTACATTTGTTCGTACAAAAACACCATGTCTTAGCAAGAAATACAGCCCAAAGGAGCCCAGCCGCAAGCCCTCTGTAGAGGGTTGGAGCAAAGGGCTGGTCCTCACACATTTGGGACAAGATATTTTTGTCCATGCTGTTTGTAGACAGTCCTAGCAGCATGGGATGGTTTGAAGCTGTTATGCAGATCTAGAGGCTCCAGAATTTACCAAAACGTCTTGTTTCATTTCAATTATCTTTTGCAGTACCATCAAAGGTGTCCATCTCAATGGCTACTACATTCCACCAAACACTTGTATTTACATTAATATGTATCAAGTAAATCATGATGAGTAAGTATCAGAACAATGGATAATGATAAATATTATATTTCTTCATGGCATTATAATCAATATTTTTCTTGCATTCTACCAAACCTGAATATATACCTTAAATTAGGTGGGTGATTCATTAGAGGCAATAGTAGTGCTGAGGTAAAGCTTTTTATTTATTACATTTCTATGCTTCTCATTAGACAAACTTTTTGGACTGCTTATGGGGCAAGGCTTAAAACTATAAAATACAGTAACATAGTAAAACATTCCAGCAAGAATTGAAGACAGAATAAAAGCAAGATGGTAAGCAAAAAAAAAAAAAAAGGTGGCAGCAATGCAAAGATCGAAATTGCACTCATGCAGTTTTTAAACGGAAGGGTCAAAAAGCGCTTAGCCCACCTTTCTTTTTTGCATGTGGAACTTTGGAGGAGAATGTGTGTGTTGTGAGTTGGGTGGGGCTTCCCTGAAATTCAGAGAAATTCAAATTTTGGTGTGTGGGAGTATGGAAAAGTACTAACATTAAATGAGGATCCCTAGGGTATGGAATGGGCTTCCAGGGGAGGTGATTGAAGCCCCAGCGGTGATGGTGTTTAACAATAGGGTGGACACGCACATGGTAGGCATGTCATGAGCGGAGCCAGCTGGAGCCAAGGGTCAGACTAGATGGACCAGGAGGCCCCTTCTGACTTATTCTGTTTCTGTGTAATCCAGGGGTTCCTCTTTTTTATATTTTTCTCTTCACTCCTTTGAAATGCCGGAGAAGACAATCATGCTAGGGAAACTCGAAGAAAGAAGAAGAGGGAAACCAAATCAGAGATGGACTGACTCCATAAAGGAAGGCAGAGCCTTGATTTTAGAACAGCTAAGCAGGGATGTCATGAATAGGACATTTTGGAGAGCTTTCATTCATAGGGTTGCTGTAAGCTGGAGATGACTTGACAACACATAACAGTTTTTCAGACAAAACTAAATTATTTTCTCAAGCTCTCAAGATGACTGCAGTACCCTAAGTTTTGCCAGTGTGGCCAGAATACTCCCTTGGAAGACCACTTGCACTGGCATAGAATCCTTCCCAGAGGCATTCCTGGGAAGAAAAAGATGTCTGCTCCACAGGGGGCCTTGTTTTAAAGGAAGAAGGAAAAGAATGAAAGAAAATCTCTTGATCCACCTTATCAGGAGCATTTACTCAGCAGAAAGCACGGTGCTCATTTTCCCTCTCCAAAGTCGCTGACATTGACCCTCTTGACACTCGGATGGGGGTGACTCAGCAAAGCTGGCAGGAATATTGGGGTGTATCCAGAAGGCTTATCCCAGTCAAAGGAGGTGATACTGGTTCACTTTTTTCCAGTTGATTTCAGGTTTACTTGGGGCAATGACAGAAGTTTTGGCTAGGCCTTCCCTGGCAACAGCCTGGCTGATTGAGCCTTAGCTTATCTTCCCAGCTTAACTCACCAGCTGCTTCTTCTAACCACCTCTTAATTGGCCACACTTGCTGGGAATGATGGGAGCTGTAATACCAGGGTACCACTCCACCTTAATACATTTATGACTTGGGCAACCTAATCTCTTCTTCCATTTCCAGTTGTCTAGGCACTTTTACCATCCCATTGAAAATTCATCTATAGAGATTTGTGAGGAATATAATAATGCTTTTTCTAGCAAAAAGTGGACTCCTTCAAATTCTGATATGAATCAAGGGATGTTACTTTCCTCATTGCTTAGGTGTGGCTGAGTTACGTGAAGCACAATGTTGAATATGGCTACTGGAATGACATGGATGTTCTTTAGGCCACAGCAACTATCTTTGCATCCTGTTTGAGTAACATTTCATAACAGCCTCTAACAGTTTCTTTTTACCTCTTGGTTCTTTTTATCACAGGTCCTTGTGGGCCGACCCTTACTTGTTTAAACCAGAGAGATTTCTGAATGAAAATGGGGAACTCAGTAAGACCTTGACAGAGAAGGTTTTGATCTTTGGAATGGGGATACGAAAATGTCTGGGAGAAGAAGTGGCCCGCAATGAGATCTTTGTTATCCTTACTACCATCTTGCAACAGCTGAGGTTGGAGAAATCTCCTGAAGAGCAGCTGGATCTAACCCCAATGTATGGGCTCTCTATGAAACCCAAACCGTATCGAATTCAGGTTGTTATGCGCACTTGAAAAAACACTTAAGGAGAAAACAAGTTTGCTAGGACACAAAACAAAACAGCGCAGCCATGCAGTGTTATATAATGCACAGCAACCTTCCCAAGCTGTTGCCACACAATCATTTTGGAATTCAGTTCCCATCTGCCCCAGGCAGCATGGCTGATGGGCAGTGATGCTGGGAGTTGCAGTCCAAAACATATGGAAGGCACCAGGTTGGATCTCTGTGGGACATTTGCTGTGATGACCATGCTGTTTTATGGGTTTCGTTGTCCAGCCTGTAGGGATTCTGAGAACATAATGCTAATGGAGCGGCTTTTATATAAGTTTAATGAAGGAAGGAAGGATTAGCTGGATAGTTTGGCTTGAATCCTGACCTGCTGTTGCTTGTGTACCTGTATGTTTTTCCATATAGGGCAAATAAATTTTGCAAGGAGGCAATTCAGATTGGGGCAAGCATTAATACCCCTGGCCCAGCACCATGTCTCTGACCCTGCCTGCATAGGGGAGCAACTTGTAATGTTCAGAAAGACCTCCTGATGCCACATCTCAGCTGGCCCTCAGGGACAGCATCACCTGTTCTGCTGGAGGTTGCTTTGTTCTCCAGCCCTCTTTTGAAGTTATGTTGGCAAGATGAAGTTGTATACATATATTACCTTGGTGGAGCACCCTCTTTCTCTTTTCCCTGCTCCACATCCCAGAATACAATTTGGTAGGAAAAGAAGCAGGCACATAGTATTGATGATGGTATTGTCTATCCACACACAAGAGGATGTGAACTGAGTAAAAAAGTTGGGTGGAGGATGAGAGAGAGAGCGAGAGCGAGAGCGAGCGCTGAGGTATGAAAAGGTGAAGAAATAGGCATACTGAAATACCTTAAATTAATCTTAAAATATCAGTATGCAGTTGTGTAAAGGTAGGCAGGATGTTTGACCCCATAATTCTCCTGGTTCTCGCACATTTTCATTCCCTGCTGTAGTCAATAGATCATGGATATACGGAGAAGGATTTCCTCATAACAATCCCTAACATTTCTGTGCGCCAAAATGGCAATGTGGGAAATTATTTTCATGGAATATTGTATCTTTCAACTGTCAATCAGTAGTTAAAACTTGATAGTTAAAACTGTCAATAAAATATTTCAGATGATATTTGTCAGAATTATACTTGAGTCTTTTACTTCTGAGTAGACTTAGGCAAGATTGCACCATTTTGTCAAACTCCTAGGAAGCACCCACTAAATGCCACACAGGACTCCTGGAGAGGCTGTTGGCCACCTTTGCCAAAGAGGAACGAGCAGTGGCCGAAGGAAGCTCCTACTGGCATCCATTTCGTTTTGTTTTGTTTTGCTTTTCTTCTCTCGAAAGTGTCCCCATGCTTATAGATACTGAAGAATTTGGCCTGCAGTCCAGTACATGCCTACTCAGAATTAAGCCACATTCTCAGGAAAATGGGTATAAAACCACAGCTAAGTAAAGTGATTAAAATCTTGGGTTTAGCAGAGGCACTTGGTATTTTGTCCCTGTTCGACAATATATTTTCCTTGTAAATTAAAAAAAAGATACAACTTGGCAGGTACATTCATGGCAGAGTTTTCATTGTCATTGCTTCCAGAAGTCCTTATGATCTAGATAAAGGGAAGCATTTTTAAGTGCCACTGATTTCTATGCAACAGATCAGCCTTATGTATGTCTACTCAGAGGAAAGTTCCACCAAGTTCAAGAGCACTGCCAGACAAGTGTGTATATGATGGTAGCTCAGATCTGCTATGAAAATTGAAGGAACATCTCAAAGTGCTAAACTTTGGCTAAATCGAGTCTTTCATATTCGTATCTTGTCCAGCTGGCCTTGTTTCAGATCCAGCCAGCTGTTCTGATGGGGCTGCAGAGTACTTTTTTGTGACAACAAAAAGTTGGTAGGGAAAAGCTCCAGAAAAACCCTTTAAGATAAAAGGTAACCCATAAACAGCAGTGAATGAGAGCATGGCTTTGAGTAACATTTCACAATGTGTTTGTCTGCTCCTGCTCCAGTGGAACGTCAGATAGAAAATACTGCTGGCATGCACTGGGCTTCATTATGCTTTTCGCAGTATTTTGCATCATGTTTTCTTAAAAAAGAGATGCAGAGGTTGAATTGTGTTTGAACTAAGAGCTTTCCTACATGGGGAATATTGTGCACTCGTGATTCCTCACTCATGGTCGCTAGGGTGTTGTGAGCAAGGGGTTTCCCGCACTTTGCACATTCAAAGCACCAGATCATTCCTTTGCAAAAGCCCTTTATTCACCAGAGGATACCCAATAAACTCAATCACCATGGAATATATATCTGAGCATGCACAGAGTGCTTTGTTGAACCCAGTCTAAAGAACTACTCCCAAAAACCTCCTTTGGAGTAAGTCTGGGTTCGATCCCTTTGGGAGAGCCCATCTGGAAGTGAGCACACCTTTCCTCTGCATGTTGACCCTCTAGGTGGATAGCTCTTCCCCCCATGCCATATGATGGGGTCAAGAGTCATAGCAGCTTTGCCTGTCCCTGAGAACTCCTCTCCCATGCCTCCACCCAGCAGCTGGACATTTTGGATATTCTCAGAGCCTGCCTGAGCAACTTGGGCCTTGAGATAAGCGCCTCCCCTTGTCTCCTCTCATCGTCTGGAGTCCCGCTTTCCCAGGCTCCTCCTCTTAATTCTCAGACTCAGACCATGACCCGGGAGTGCCACAAGAACAGCTGCCATTTTCATTCCCAACACAGGGGAATGAAAGTTGTTCAGATGAAGTTGTCATCCGCTAGGGTGCTTCTCGGGCTTTTCAAGCATTTCAGGTCTTTTTGTTCTTATTTTAATTGGGCCGGGTCTGGTATTTGCAGGAGGGAACAATGAAACACTAGTGTAGTGGTGACTCAGTTCTGCTCTGCCGCAGAGTCACGAAGAGGCGGTATCACAGCACCACCAAGGAGAGAAGCCAGAGTGAAGTAGAAGGTTAAACTCACCTAGAAAGACAATTCTGTTAAATCTGTTGCATCTGTCTCATGGATCGCCAGGTGTCTCTATCATCTACTCATTTTTCCCTTCAGAAAAGTATGCAGAAAACTCTGCTGCCACTTACATAACTTTCAGTGCCTTGTGCCATTTTGTGTCTTTTTCTTAGCTCAGGGTACAGTCAATGATCAGGGCACACTCCAGCAGCAGATGGAAACCAGAAAATGCTTGTGGTGTAGAGTAGACTATTCCTATGCAGGGATTCAGCCACTCCATTCCATTCCCTTTCCCTCCACAGCTGGCATTCCATGGCCACTGGTACGCTCAGTCTTCACTGGTTGTTTCGCTTCACTGCCTGCATGTGTGAATCCCAGCAACATCAAAAACATTCCTGGACTGCATTTCCTCTGGCCTACATGGGATGCCCACTCAGCATCTCCAAGAGGCTCTTTCTGGTCCCCCACTACAACACAGAAGTGGCAGGGTATTAAGGACACTGCTGAGTCAGCTTCACAGTTTAGATTGCTGTTGTGCATGTCATTCCGACTGGCCATCAAGTGGTGCTGTTCAATGAAACTAGCTTGGCTCCCTTGAAAGCAGTGTTAATTCTTAGTACCTTTCAGTCCCTTTAAAAAAATATCTACTTTGCATAGCCTAGATGTTTAAACCTTATTAAAGGCAGGTGCTTTCCCAAGAACCAAAGGAGGTGTGGTAATATTTGTACAGGAAAAATGTCACCAACAAGAACTGGAGTCACAAGAAATGATAAATGACTGTTGATTGTTATGATTGATTCTTGGGTCATCTCAACCCAGATGTGGTGATTCGCTGCAGTGATTTATTGTGGTTGAGAACCATGATGAGAAACAAAGGTCAGTTCTAGGGTTTTTCCCTACCCTGATTACTTGTTGTGTCATCCAGACTGGATCACCTGGATGACCTTCAGCTGGGATGGAGACCAGACAGAAGGTATCAGGTGAGGTGCTGGCTCATTCCAGGATCGTCTGTTGGGGTTCCACCATGGCCCAGGAATAGAGGAATTGGGAGGGGGTTACTTGTCTCTCTTCAGCCAAGAATTTGCCTGGGGACTTTCTGCCTGACCGATTTTGTTGGACCTCTCCTCATGGGAGACCCTTTACTGAACTAATGCACCATAGGGACAGCTTAGTTCTTTTCTTCGCTGTGCAACATGCTGATGGGTCTGGATATGCTTGGGAATTGTGGCCTCAAGTTGATTTACCAATTTACCTTGAATACTTTTATTATCTTTTTACCTTTTCTGCTTATCTTTTCACACCTAGCCCTTTGTTCTGATTCTTTAATAACGAAGCACTTTTATCAACTTGGTGCTGTTGCTGAGACCAGGGCAGATTGCTAAATGAGGGACAGGAAGTTGAGTCCTTGGATGCCCAGCCTACCCTCACGCCAGGACGGGTTGCAAACCCATCCATTGTAGATGATGGGAAGTGAGGTTCATTATTTGATCACTGCCTCCAGTTCTGTTTGCTCAAATTCAAAGAATGATTCCGTCAACCAAAAGGCCATATGCACATGAGAAATACGTTCGCTTTTAAAATGGAGTCCATCTTGAACTGCAGTGCCACCTACTGTCTGTCCTGACCATTTCTTTTGCTTTAAGTTTCAGGCAATAATACATTTTCAGTGGTATTTTATTTGTAAATCGCATTCTGAGCCATAAATATTGTCAAATAAAATAAGCATTGCTTTTGTAAGCATTCATAAAAATTCTAATGGGACAAAAATTACCAAGCTTGTTCTCTGTTATTTGAAGAGAAGTGTTTCCATGTAATGAAAAGCAAAGCTTTTCAACCATCCCCCCCTTTTTTTAATTCAACAAGATCATTCCGGATCGAGCATTAGCTATATGAATGTGTGTGTGTAGGTCAGGGCTGGGAGACAACTGATATGGGGATTTAAAAATTGTTTTTGTATGGTGGTGTGAGTACACTCTATAATGAACCATGGAGATTATTCATAAGTGATGGCTGCCTATGCCTTCTAGTGAACCTATTGTTTGGATATCATGACAGTCTGTTGAAGGGCTGTGAACTGGTCATGCAACACTGGGCTGGATCCAGATTTTACTCCATGAGTGGGAGCAGCCTCTGAGCAATTTTTTTCTATGGGTAGAAGAAGGTGGGGGTTGGTTGGTGATATCTGCCAGTTCCTGCTCTTTATGCCGCCTCCTTTTCTACTCCAAGCAAAGCATTCCCCAACCCTACAGAGTGGGGGGGGGGTTGGGGGGGATATAGGGGACCACAGGGGGCAGAGGAATGAACAAAGATCAGTATCAGGACTTCTGCACTAGATCAGAATTTTTCAGAGGAAAGAAGGAACTCCTTACTTGCATATTTATACTGGATGAAATCCATGGGATTCTATAATGGCATATTAAAAATATTGGGTAGCTACAACTACTGTAATATTTGCTTTGTTGTTGTTGTTGTTAGTCGCGAAGTCGTGTCCGACCCATCGTGACTCCATATTTGCTTAGGACTGAAGTAAGTTGGGGCACCTAGACCACGACACCAATATATTTTTCCCAACACATGTTGAGATGTGTCTCTTTAACCAGAGCTGGCTTCCAAAATGTCCTAAAGAGCTACTTGGAACTATCTTGGTCAGCCAGAAATGTAGACACACTTTAGAAGGAAATGAAGGAAAGTGACACATGCCTTGAAACATTTTTTTTCTTTTGTATAGGTCTCTTTCCCTCAATTCCTTTGGGTGTTGTCATTGGCTTTTACAGCTGTTTTAGATCCTCATATTTGGTACCTAAATACCAACTGACAGCTCAAATTAGCCCATTAAAAACAGGTGGATTTATCATTATCATAAGAACATGATCGAGTTCCAATCATAAGATAAGGCTTAGCAGCTGGCTGGTTTTCAACAAACCTGAGGTAAAACCAAGGACTGTTAAATGGGAAATAAATCAGGCATATCACATAGTTAAACACAGACACAAGATTCTGTTTAATTCTGTTGCTGGGTTCATATGACACAATAAGCCACAGTGGGGTGTTATTGTTGTGTTCTATTGTCCAAAGCCAGTTGTGGTATTTTTCAGCACAGTTAAGTTTTGGTCTTTAGAAACCACAGTAAGAAACAATGGGTTCCCTGTACCACCCTGGCTTGTCATGCTGTCTCAGCTC